TGATATGGGTGTTCACCTTGTACGCTTGTATACAGTTTGGCTGAGAGTTAACTCATGGGAGTGAGTTCAGTTCCAAGCCCAAAGAGTGACCCAGGGCCATAGTCACAGAGGTTTCCTAGTCTCTATCAGACCAGTAAGCCTGGTCTTTTCTATGATTGTGAGTTGTGTTGCACGTTTTTCTCCCACTTTATCCAGGACCTCCAATTTTGATCCCTTTCTGAGTGGCTGGCATTGATAGCCAAGGAGCTACCACCTCAGAAACACAAGGAGGGGTCGCTATGAGTCAGATCTGACTCAACGGCAGTGAGGTTTTTATTTTGTGTGTGTGATCTAGTACTGCTATAACAGACATACCACAAATGTATAGCTTGAACAAACAGGGATTTATTCTCTTAACAGTTTGTTGGTATGTGCCATCGAGTTGGACCCGACTCATAGTGACCCCTCTTTGGGTTTCCGAGGCAGTATCACTACGGAAGTAGATTGCCCAACCTTCCTTCCAAGGAGTGGCTGGTGGGTTTGAACCGCCAGCCTTCTGGTTAGCAGTCAAGTGCCTTAGACACTATGCTACCAGAGCTCCTACAGTTTAGAAGTCTAGAAATCTGTTCAAAGTGCCAGCTCTAGGGGCTGGGTGAAGGCCCCTCAACCTTGGGTTTCAGCTCTGCTTTCTTGCTCCTGGACCACTGGAGCTGGAGGTGTCTCTTAACTCAGGCAGCTGCTGGCTGCTGAGGCTGACAAACCCAAGGTCAACAAGTAAAATGGCACAGTACCAAGATTATCAAGCAACACAACAGGCCATTAGTTCAAGTCCAAAAAATAATCCCAAGATAGGCAGGAAACATGGTATGCTGCTGAATGAAGACTCAGCTACATGCAGGGTCCAAGTGTGCTAAAAAGCTCAAGACCTTTCTCTCAGCGTCTTCTTATATACTGGAAGTAGATCACATCCCTAAGGCAGCTATTCAGCTGCTCACAGTGGATTCCACCATGGAGTTGATTACCAGTCTTATTATGGGGAAAAACTACATCCAGCTGCCCAGCCACTCAAAACCAGGCCCCCACCAAGTTGACACATAACCTTAACTATCACATATGTGATCTAATATATTATTATATGTATTTTAAGTCGTATGGATTGAATAAAACCAAAACAAACTAGTTGCCATCAAGTGAATTCCTACTCGTGGAAGCTCCATGCCTTTCAGAGTAGAATTGCTCTCCATATAGTTTTATTTTATAAAATTTCTTTCTTATTTTATAACTTTTTACTGTGATTTAGGTGAGCTTTTACAGAGCAAATTGCTTTTCCAGTCAACAATTCATACACATTTTCTTTTGTGGCATTGATTGTAATCCTTACAATGCAACAGCACTCTTTACATTTCCTCCTATGTTTACCGTTTCCATGTGTCCTTCTTTTCTACCCTTTCTTGCCTTCTGAGATTTATCCCTGGACAAATAGTGCCTTTTTCATCTTGTTTTGCTGGAATTTGAGCCAGGGGTGTGAATCTGTTCCAGGCTTAAAAGGTGTATAAGGGCCATAGTTTTGAGGGTTCCACCAATCTCTATCAAACCATTAACCTTTGCCTTTTTGTGATTTTGAATTCTGTTCTACTTGTTTCTCCAACTCTATCCAGGACCTCCTACTGTGATCCCATCAGAGCAGTTGGTGCCTCATCTAGTTCTTCTGCTTTCAGGGTCACATGCTTTATTAGTCCTTTGGACAAATTGTTTCATGTGTCTTTGATTTTTTTTCACTCTTCTTTGTTTAGGATGTTGAGGGACCAATAGTTGCTTGGGAAAGAGGGGGGCCAACAAAATAGCAGAAGACACTCAATAAGATGGATTGACACAGTGACTGCAACGATGGGCTCAGGAATAGTGAGGATTATGAGGATGGCACAGGATTGGGTAGTATTTCATTTGTTGTACATAGGGCCGCTGTGAGTTGGAACCAACTCATTGACACCTAACAACAGCAGAGTTTTTGAATGTAGCCTTAAAGTTAGTTTTGAAAAGATGAACCTTCATGTGATTAGATTGAGACCCACAATATACAATTCCAAAAAATCTCTTAATTTTTTTCCTCCAGTGTTTATTGTCTAGTCCTTTTCGATTCCAACACCATCAGTATATGATTTTTTTTTTTTTTTGGCATGTGCGTCATTTACACAATGAAGTGGCATCATTATTATTTTCTGAATATTTTATTTCCTATTTATTCCTGACAGAAAACAAATTACCATTCATTCTTACCTAGTATTTCCAAAATACTCGCAATCTCATAAGTAAATATGTATATAAATATATGCACAAATATATCTATCCTTACATGGAATACAAAGACATATGTAAGTATATAAATATTTGAGGATTTTACAACTTATTTTTCTTTTCTTGCCAAGTAATATTGCATATATCTGAAGACTTTTATTTTTGCACAAAATATGATATCTGTTGGATTCTAAGTAATATTTAATTTCATTTCTATCTTAATTATTTAAGTTTCAAGAAGAATTTAAAGCTTTCATTCACTCAAGTACACACATAAAGAGATTTCAGAGCATCTGAATTCACTCATTCTTAAAATACAATAAAACAAAAGATGACACACAATCTAGAATAGAATACAATGTATTACTTTTACCACCTGAATTGGTTATATTTTGCATATGTATAAATTAAGAAGGGCCAGGCATGATCCTAACATCTCCTGAAATTGTTATTTAAGTACCTCTATTTCAAGTGTAATAAATATTATCTCACTTTGATATTCTTACCTTAATAAAGTGTTTAATTTGTCCTTCTCTCCAATCTAGACTAACAATAGTTGAAATGCAGAATGGCTCCTGTGCAGTCTATGGCTCAAGCTTTAAAGCCTATACAGAAAACTGTTCAACTCCAAATACATATATCTGCATGCAGAGGATTATGTAAAGTTCTGATGATTTGAAAATTATAAAGGATGCAGAAGACGAAAAAAACATCTTGTATGTTCTCTCTGAAATTTCCATGAAGAAAATTTCTATAAAAAAGGTTTAAGCAATGTTTACTGAGTATCTATTCATATGTGTCATCCCATAAAAACATGCTTTTGCAGGCAAAGAAGATTAACAGTTATAGAATTTATCTTCTATAATGGTGTGGCAATTAAGGTTATATGTCAACTTGGTGAGGCTGTGATTTTGAGGGGCTTGGCAGCTGAATGTAGTTATTCCTATGATGAAATTGGATGTGGTGTAATCACCTCCATGGTGGACTCTTCTGTGAGCAGTTAATCAGTTGAAAGGGAGTTGCCTTCAGGATGTGGCCTGCTTCTAGTATATATGGAGAAGCTTTGGAAAAGGTCTTTAGCTTTTTGGCTCATTTTGGATCCTGTGTTTGGCCCATCATCGTCTCCAGGTCCTGGACTTGAATATGTTGCCTGTGCAGTCCACGAGCCAGCAATCTGCCGTTTTACCTGCTGATCTTGGGTTCATCATCCATAGCACCAGCCGGCAGCTGCATGAGTCAGGACAAGCATCCAGCTTGCTCCAGTGTGCCTGGAATATGAGGCAGAGCTAAAGGCCAAGGTTAAGAGGCTTCCTCACAGCCCATAGAGCAGGCACTGAACTGGGACTTCTAGCCTAGTCTTCCCCTAGAGCCGGCACTCTAAATTCAGATTCCTAGTGTTTGACTGCTAACCAGAAGGCTGGAGATTCAAACCCACCAACCACTCCTCAGAGGGAAGACTGGGCAATCTACTTCTATAGAGATACTGCCTCAGAAACTCAAGCAAGGCTCACTATGAGTCAGATCCAACTTAATGGCAGTGAGTTTTTTGTTTGTTTCGTTTTGTTTTGTTTTTTAGCCACGTAAACTGTGGTGTAGTGCCTAAGGCATTTGACTGCTAACCAGAAGACTGGCGGTTCAAACCTTCCTTGGAAGGAAGGTTGGGCAATCTACTTTCGTAAAGACTCTGCCTCGGAAACCCAAGGAGGAGTCGTTATGAGTCAGATCCTACTCAGCGGCAATTTGGTTTTGGTTTTGGAAACTGTACAAGATTAAGTTTCTATTTGTTAAATCTGTCCACTGTGGTATTTCTGTTATTGCAGCGCTAGAGAGCTAAGACAAACAGCGTTTGTTATTTTTTAGAATTTTGAGTAATGCACAGATTCATTTTTAAATTTAGTAAACTTTTGAAGATACAGATGATTGACTCAATTTTAAAATACAATGTTTAAACAAATGTGAAATTAATAGACTTTCAGGAAGTTTTCAAACTTTAAATATTTGAAATTTAAAAAACTTGCAGTTGAAGAAGGGTATATTGTTGTTGCTTGGTGCCATCAAGTTGATTCAAATTCATAGTGAACCCATCTGACAGAGTAGAAATGTCCCATGGGACTTTCCTGGCCGTAATCTTTACAAAAGCAGATTACCAGGTCTTTCTCTTGTGGAGCTGCTAGCTGGGTTCAAATTGACAGTCTTTTGGTTAGTACCCAAGTACTTAACCATTGTACCACCAGGTCTCATGAAGAATTGCATATTGAAGCCCATGCAATATACTATATTGCATATTTGAAAACATTCATAATAAAAGTGGGAAATCTACAAAAATCCTCAAATTTTCAAAAATCACTACTAATTTAATACAGTACATGCTATGTTTTGCAGAAGTTAAATTACTCCTTGAACTAAGAATATGGCACTAATTGCTACAAAGAATGACAAATTAAGAGAGAGTTTGAGGAGGTCTTACAAAGCTTATGGAAAAAAGTATATTTGAGTTGAGTAGAGTGAACAGAAATTACCTAGACAAATTTTTAAATGAGCAGCATTTTGGAAAATGGGACAATACTTACAAATTGGAAGAAGTACAAAGAATCTGAAAGCCAATTTAATAGGAGCAGAACAATTAAGAGAACAAGGAACATACAAAGTGGAGGAGAGGGAGCAGAGCTTTATATCCCTCATTAATTGTTTGGGATTTTATTCTAAGTGCAATGTATAATTGGTACACTTTATGTAGTAAAATAGAAATGAAAGAGAGTATTAAACAACAGATTAAAGGAGAATTAATGGAAAAATTCCCTGGAAAAGAATTGTTCTCTACATAGTCAATCAAAGAAAAAGGGATATGTTGGCCCAAATTAATTTTAAATAGTAATGTCTACTACCCAAAATTAATAAAACTTATCATTTATAACAAATACTCAGAAACTTTCTGTCACAGTTGCTATGTAAGAAATAAAGCAACAGAAATTGGGTTGTGCTTCTGTTTCTAGAAATCACAAAAGAATGCCATGTCATATATTACATCTTAGGGAAAACATTGTTAAACTGACCAAAGCAAAAAACTTACTGTCATCGAGCTAATTCCAACTCATATGACTGCCCCATAGAGTTTCAAAGACTGGAAATATTTATGGAAGTAGACTGCCTCATCTTTCTCCCATGGAGCCACAGGGTATTTAAACTGTCAACCTTTTGGTTAAAAGCCCAGTGCTTTAAGCACAGTGATACCAGCACTCCTCGCTAAACTGACCAGGAGATAAGAAATCTTCCTGTAGAATCTCAGGATTCAATAAAAATGGAGACATTAAGAGATATCCAATTGCTAAAAAATGGCTCTCATTCTGATGGTTTATAATGAAACCTGGGGAACTTGAGTCTCTCTTTGATGATTGGCATGATCCACTGAGAACCTAAGATGAATTCCAGGGGCCAACCAACCTGAAAAGTTGAATAAATGTTACTTTTTTAAAACTAGGATTCAAAAAGACTATAGGCTCACATAAGAAAGAACAGCAAATAAGCTCAGCCCTAGGACAAGATGGACCTCAAGACTGGAAGAACTAGAGATGGTGCCAGGCTACCAATGCCAATCATTTGGGAAGGGATCAAAACTAGAGATCCTGGATAGAGTGGGAGTAAAAACATGGAACAAAATCCAAAAACATAATAATGACTAGAATTACTGGTCGGATGGAGTCTGGTGGGACCCCCAATACTATGGCCCTGGGATACACTTCAAACCTGGGGTAAAACTCACTCCCAAGGCTGGATCTCAGCCTAACAGTAAATAAGACTTACATGCAGAACACTCAACCCAGGGCAATACACCCACCTACTCTGTGGAGACACATCCTTCGGAGCAATCAGCCATGGGGGATCACAACACAATGTAACGTAAGACACTGCCATGAAGTCGGATCCAACTCATAGTGACCCCTCCTTAGGTTTGCAAGGGATATCACTATGGAAGTAGATTGTACAACCTTCCTTCTGAGGAGTGGCTGGTGGGTTTGAACTGCCACCCTTCTGGTTAGCAGTCAAATGGTACTATACCACCAGAGCTCCAGAAGGGCAATATTCACACGTAGGAAAAGCTGGACAGATGGGAGTGCATAACTGAGAAGGGCACAGGGAAGGGGGGGGGTTTACTGGGCAGGGAGAGGAGGAGAGTGGGTTAGGGTTGGGGATGGTAATTGGGGAGTGAAGCTGAATGTACATGGAACGTTGAGTGTAAAACAAATTCTGCTCTGTAAATTTGCACCTAAAGCACAATTTTTTTTTTGACTGTGGAAGATATATATGCAACCAAATGTCATTTCAACATTCTCTGCCTATACAATTCAGTGACACTAGTTTTATCTATCATGTTGTTCAACCATTATCATTTGCTTCCAAATATTCCCATCATTTTTAATGCATTTTAATGAAATATAATTTATGTACAGTGAAATAGACAAAACTAAAGTTACATAGGTCTATGCATTTTTTTTCAGTGTTCCCTCGCCTCCCCTCCCACACTGGCAACCAACTAAGAAAGTTTCCCTCCAAATATAAACCTTTCCTTGACAGTCCATAGCAACGAACTAATACTATATTTGTCCTTCTATGATTGATTTATTTCACTCAGCATAATGTCCTCCAAGTTCATCCATACTATGCAGTGTTTTGCAGACTCTACATTATTCCTTAGTGCTGCATAGCATTAATTATCAGCAAATATGAGTTTGTTACTGTTCATTTTTGCTATGTGCTTTTTCATAGTGTCCATTTTTTGTTCCATATAATTTTCTATGCTGAGCTTGTTTTGTTTATGAATCATGTTATCACTTCCTTCATTGCTATTGTTTTAGTATTTGCTGAATATTTATGTTGGTCCTTTTTTTTGATGTGAAGGTTTATCATTTTTCTTTGAGGTTACCCTGTGATTTATAGTTCTTCCCAAGTTTAGAACAGTCTGTTCTATCTTGTAGTCATCTTGACTTCCCTACCATCTAGAAGTTCTGTAACTACACAGTATTTCCCCTCTTTTTGGTTTGTAGTTGTCCTCATTTGTTGGTTGGTGTCTCTGGTTCCCTGTTTACAATTTTTTTAGGCTTATTTACTCTGGATACTTCCATAGCTGGGTTGGTTTATGTCATCACGTGTGTTAATGGTCAATTGTTGTTGGCTGTTGTTGCTTCTCTGTCCAAAGGACTCCCTTTAGCATCTCTTGTAAGGCTGGTCTGGTTTTAACAAATTTCCTTAGTTTCTGCCTATCTGGAAGTGCCCTAATTTCACCATCTTATTTGAGGGACAATTTTGCTGGGTACATAATTCTTGGTTGGACATTTTTCTCTTTCAGGGTTTTATATATACCATCCCATTGTCTCCTCACTTCCATGGTTTCTGCCGAGAAATCCAAGCTTAGTCTTATTGGTTGTCCCTTGTAGCTAACTTTTTGTTTCTCTCATGCTGCTCTCATGATTCTTTCTTTGTCTTTGGTTTTGGTGAATTTGATGATGATATGTCTTGGTGTTTTTCTTTTGGGGTCTATCCTGTTTGGGGTTTGTTGGACTTCCTGAATGGATATATTCTCATCTTTCATCATATCAAGGAAGTTCTTCACCAACAAATCTTGGACAATTTTCTCTGGGTTTTATTTGTCTCTTCCTGCTCTGGAA